AGAACAGAGAATTATTTGAAATAATCTGTCTTTGGTCACTGACAGTAGAGTGACATTTAAACAGGTTTGTGAAGTAAACCTTCGATTCAGTCAAATAATCAAAACCAGTCTGAGAAACAGCTTTATTTAAACTGTATTTTTATGCTCAGCTCTGTTCAACAGTTGGCAAAGTTTAGCATCTCCACTAGGTCTTTTCCCTTCTCCCAAACAGCTTACCATATTTAATACTGGAAGTTATTCATGTCTGAAATAACGTTCATTGCCATCAACATCTCAGTTTTCATCAGAACCCTGAATTTGTGCTACAACTTGATCTTCAACAAGTTTGAGTCAAATATTTTCAGGCTACCCATTGTCTCTCAGGGCAGAAAAAGAAGTCCAAGGATCACCTGTGACAAAAACAATGATTCCGTTAGTCTGAATTCACAACAGGAGTTTCATTTATGAGTAAAACAATCTTTAATAGAGCATTTAACATTATTTTTAAACTAAAACCAAAACATCATCAAGAACAGTCATATTCTTATAAGACTTGATGAGATCTCCAAACTGATTATCAAAGGATAGTTCCATTTTTATATTTAAAATTTATATTCTAGAAAATGCACTGAGAGGAACACTCTTCAAATAGATTCATACACTGCTCAAACCAAGACACAGGGCCAATTTGAAAAGCCTTCAAAATAAAATTCTGATAGGTCCCATTCCCCATTTCTGCAAAGGCTGTACTATTTAACAAATATTGGGTTAATAATCATAAGTAGCTGTGTTCCTTAGTTCTTTCATAAGTGACTTTACTGATCATGCAAATTTTGGTCAGAGATTACTTGAGTTCACTATTCTTTTAGGCACTCACAGAGCTGTCTTTACAGAACTGTTCAGACCTAATGCAGCTGAGGCAGATTTATACAAATACTGCTTTTTTCTTTTTCATTGTCATTCAGAAACGTAGTTAACATACGTAAGTTTAAGCATGTGTGCAGTCCTAGTGAAGTTAACTGTATCTTGCTACTCTAGGGCCTCAGCAACATCTGACTTCCTTTCTGCCTTCTTCACTAGTAACAAGTTTTACCGAGAAAACATTTAGGCCAAGGACATGGGAAACCAGGAAAAAGTACAAACCCCCATACGCATCTAGTACAGATCAGAGATGGGTGAGAAGGGATAAATGCAGCTTTCTGTCCTGATGTGGTAAGGTGCTAGTTACAGCTTGGCACGAGTCCCTGTGTCATCCCAGCTCATGCCAGGTGGTAGCAGGCAGGACAGCACAGCAGAATGAGGGTAAGACTTCTGGGGTTCTCTTCTTGCCTGCTGTAGGCTCCCTTCCAACACAGGGCTTTGATGGAGGGCTAAGTCAGGGCACCTTTGAACCTCTGCACATAAAGTGCCCAGGCAAAAGCAACCCAGCAGGCCAAGAGAACAGTTTCAAAAGGAAGAAAAAGAGCAAGAGGTGTAACAGCACTCAAGAGAGCTTTCTCCACTGACCTTAAGAATGGTCCAGTCCTGCAAATTAGCAAGTACCCAAATCCCCCATCACCAAAGTGACAGGCACCCGTTAACTGACATCTTAATGTAACAAGCAGTAAAACTAATCTCCATAGTCAGAGACTTACAACTGCTCCCTCACCTTCTTCTTAGTGCATTGTTTTTCTTGGTGTGGGTAACAACAAAGGCATAAGGATACTAGAAATCACTGAATTTGTGCGTAATGTTACATAAATCACTTTTAAATTACCTCTTTAGTTTTCTGAGATGCTCTAAACCAATGTTGATAGCTTCAAGTAAAAACTCCACTTGTTGCAAAAAGTACTAGTAATTCTTTAATCCACCTTCCCTAAAGCTAGTTATTTCCTCTTTTCAGGGTGGAACTGTTGAATGACCTTATTTCTGATCTCCTAATACTAGTGATGGAAAACAAGATGCATTAGGATGGTTTACACTAAACTTAAAATGAGCTATTCTCATTCTTTTTTAAAATTAATTATTAAAGAAAGCACATCAGTTTAAAGTTAAAGCTGCATGGATGTGCTATCAAGCTATGGGCATTAAAATCCTTATGCCTTGAATGTTCCCCTTGAACTTTGTTTCAAAGTTAAAGGATCACAGACCAAATCAAACCAAATTCAGCCTTTGTGTAGGACAGCATTAAACTGCAGCTGTTCCCATCAGGACTGAATTGGTGTCAGGCACCTGTTAGATTACACAGTCACCATAAAAAAAAAACCAAACAGTCCAGAACTATAAAACTTATTACAAATCAAGTATATTAAATAAAAGAGGATCCTACCAGTTGCATCATCAGCTTCTGTGTCTAGAAGAGCATCTACTGAAGTCATGCTTGTGACTATGAAGGAGTCTGTAGTATCAGACACTCCTCGCTTGCTGAGACAAACTCCGAGATACTGATTTTTGCTTTGATCAATGTCTTTTACTAACCTTCTCTCAGGAAGGTTGCACCACTTGTTGAGAAGGTTTTTCTAGGCCTTCCTACTATTCCCCAATGCACTTTTTAAATCATAAGTCCACAGGTTCAATTTGTAGTTATCTTCCAAAAATATTTATGTAATAGAAAGTAGGACAGAGATGCAACATGTTTTCCCCCACCAACTCCACCTTTTTGGTAGCGTTAAATATTCCTTATTTCTGTTAGTCCTCTCTTGCAAAGAGATAAGAAAGTCTTCAGTGAGATACATTTTCTTCAGGAGGTATCTTCTGTTCTTCCCTGACCTTTTTCCAGTGGAGTTTTCATCATGTGTCCTTTTTCCTCACTAAACATGCCAGCAAAAGACTTATTAATATAGGTTGTTATAAACTCAGAAGTTTCTTTCCTATTACAGCTCTAAAAAGTTGTAACTGTCTTTAATTAGCAACTTAAAAATTAGTTGTATGTCTAAATCAGATTATTTTCAATGTAATCTCTTCCTCAATAATCTGAATTACTGTAAGCAAGATTTAGGAAACTTTCTTCATATTCACAAATATCAGGCCAGGGTATTCTAAATACTTATGCCTAATCATAAGTTTACTCATCCAAATATCCCCTTATTGATTCAATGCCAAGTTTAATAGCGGTGCTCACAAAGTTATACCCAGAATAGGTTTTTGCAGGATTAGTCAAAAACACTTTGCATATCTTTTTGAAGCTTATTAGTTACATTCTTCCAAAAGACTCTCCACGTACTAAAAACCCTTTACTTTGAAGAAAAATGGACTTTAAAATCAGACTATAAACTATTTCCTCATCTGTACCAAGTATCTACTTGTTTTAACTAATCCTTAATTTCAGAGGGTAAACTAGTAGTATCTAGTTCATGTTCCAGTCTAAAATTTATGTTCAGAAGAATGCTCTGTTCCCCTAGCTGTAGGAGATGACTGTTGCCGGTTTGCTGCCATTCTTAACAGCGACTATGATAGAAAAGTCAAGAACAAGAAATGCAGTAAGAGTGAGCACGTTAGGATTCAAGAGGGATTATGCAAGATCTACAGTAGAGAATATGAACATGCATAGAGCCCAATGATTCAGTTATGCTTCCAGAAGACAGGCACCACCATTTATTTCAGACATTAACAGGCATGTCTGTATTGCAAACTCCCCACAGAAGTGCTGAAGGATGCATTTCGTAACTAAGGGAGAGGAGAATATCACCCTTTTCCCTGGAGTAACCCCAGCAATATGCCTATCTCAACCCTTTCTCCCTCCATCTGAAAACCTCTCAGTGAACAAGGGTAGACAAAGTGTTAACTTGGATTTCTGGAGTCTGATTCTCCTCTCAAATATACAGTATAGCAGTGTGCAACCCTGCCAGCTCCAGTGAATGAAATTTCTGTCAATGAAAGCAAGAAGAGAATGTAGCTTTTAGAATTTACATCAGTGCCAACCATAGGCAGAAAGAAATTACAATCTGCTATTCATTGTTTTGGTACTGCTTGTTGGCATTCTACTATGACTAAAACTGAAACATACAATCTGTTTACATTACCTGACAGCCTTAAAAAGTTAAGCACAACACTGTTCGCCAGAATCCAATATTAGCTACCTTTATTAGGCCAGTTTAGAGCAAAGCCCAGGCTCAAGTTCCTCCTCAGATGAATTTTAAACCACTAGGTAATGAACGTAGTGGAGTTATAGTAAAGAACCTGACAGGTAGTTGTGAAAAAAATAAAAGCAGCACCTTAATCATCATGGAGTAAAATTCTGTTTTCATTAACAGTGCAGCTCTCTTCACATGCTCCCATATTTTTTTCAATGAAAGATGCATAGTTTTGACTGCACAGATTTGGTACACGTGCACAACAGCTGGTCTGACATGATAAAGCAGAATGAATCTGAAGAAGTTCCTGCCTGTCTGAACAATAATCCATGAACTAAGAGGGATTTACTCAATAGACCATCACAGATTCTATCCTGACAAAATTAGAGTTGTGGGTTCTTTTAAGAACGTGCCTAAATCTGTTTTCTGTCAGATGTTGCCCATTCTCAAAAACCTAGATAGCAAATAGGAAGCAAACAGAGAGAATTAAATTACTGGGGGGGGGGGGGGGGGGGGAGAGCCCATGTCTGAATCCTGCCATATTACTTGATTTGAAGCTCCAACCACAGTATTTATTACTGGAGACATTTCTGTAACTCACTCAGGGTCAGTTACAGAAAATCACTCAGAAGAGCATCCACAGACACACACTGTATGCCACAGCATGATCCCCAGCACCACGCCTAAATTTCATTCTTAAATAAGTCTGACTTGCCTTCGCTTTTGCTGGGTGGGAACTGCCGCGAGGTAAAAATAGCACCACGATTCTGTGGCGGGCGCTAAAAATACCCTTACGCGCTCGATCGCCAACTCGGTAGGAAAGATGAAGCCCTTGGGATCTGTCAGAGCCTCTAACCGCCGGCTGGGAACGAAGGCGAAGAGCGCCCAGCCCTGGAGTTGCGCGCCCGGGCAAAGTTTTACCGGCAGCCGCAGAGAGCACGGCGCTGCGCCCCGCCACCCGCCCCTTACCCGCGTTCCGCAGCTTCTTGTTGCGGTAAACGGAGAGGATGACCAGGAGGTTGCCCAGCAGGTCCACCACGATGGTGAAGATGAGGATGGCGGCCAAAGTAGAGGTCACCCAGGGCGGGCGGCGCGGGGCGCCCTCGGCCGGCGGCTCCCGCGGGAGGACGGAGCTGTTCAGTTCGCTCCCGTTCACTCTCATCCTGCTGCCGCCGCCTCCCAGAGCGGAAC